TATATATCCTGTAGTTTTGGTCATGTTGCAGTGTGTATATCCTGTTGTCTAACCCATGTTGAAGTGTATATGTCCTGTAGTTTCTGTGTGAAATTACTAATTTTAGTTAGAACACTTGTGCAAAGAGCTGACCAAAAACTGGGTGAATAATTAATTTTAGTTAGAACACTCGTGTAAAGAGTTGGCTAAAAGATGGTGAAATCACTCATTTGAGTTAGAACACTTGAGTAAAGAGCTGACTAGAAAAACTGGGTGAGATTACTAATTTTAGTTAGAATGCTTGTGTAATGAACTGACAAGAAAAACTGGGTGAGATTACTAATTTTAGTTAGAATGCTTGTGTAATGAACTGACAAGAAAAACTGGGTGAGATTACTAATTTTAGTTAGAATGCTTGTGTAATGAACTGACAAGAAAAACTGGGTGAGATTACTAATTTTAGTTAGAATGCTTGTGTAATGAGCTGACTAATAAAACTTGGTGAATAACTAATTTTATATGTAACAGTACATAGCGGTCTCAGGATATATACACTAGTGGGATTAATTACAATATTGATGGTGTTTTCGTTTATATTCTTTTGTGTGACTCATTTGTTAGAAGGGTCTCTTGAACCAACACGGTAATTCTAGCTTTAAAAGTAACAAGTCGGGATCGATATTTCATCACACTTACGTTTGCCTTCGTGGAAGTGAAAGATGAAACGAGATGAGCTTTGGCGTTAAGATAAAGTGATCCGATATAATCCGTACAACAATTAGGCGTGGCGTCAATATTATGTGTAAAATGTGCATTTAAACATATACGATATATCTGACGAAACTTAGTGTTATATACATATATAGAGTAAAATATTTTAAATATATGAACAAAATACATATTAGCTCAACATCTGAGAGAAAGATTCCTATATACAAATAATAAAAAATATATATATTAATAATATTGGAGAGGATAACATTAGCTAACGACTGAAGGGTGACTAAAGTTTAGATCAATGATGACTAACGAAATAACTACATAGGAAAAAGTCCTAGTTTAACCATACCTTACAGAAGGACTGAATGTTACATATATAAAATGGCTGGTCCGGGCGTTGACTGTCTATATAAACAGTATCTGGAATAAGAAAAAGATACAGATAATTAATAATGTGAATGGACCTCGAAGGTTAATAATACCTATTTATATCTTTCTAGAAAGTTACTTTTCTTTTACCAAATTGTTATATTCTCTACAGAAAAATGTATTAGGTCCTACATCTCGCTATTATTAGTTTTAGCGAAGTTATGTTTTGAAGGCCAACGCTGGAATCAGTCCAAATTCCGCCTTGATACCTTGCCAGTGTTAAACAAATTACATACTAAATGTTTATTTTAAAAATATCTTAAAACTCTACGCATGTAAACACCGATTTTCACACTTGCTGTAACAACTTTCACCTTATATAATAGGGTTTACTAACTTTGACAATAAAGTGTTACCGATTCTAAGACACTTAAAAACAGCAGGTAAATCGGTTACCATTACCACGAATCACGAGTGTTACGTTATTGTGAAAAAAAAAAAAGTTATGACAGCCCCCCCCCTTCAGTGGTGGGCAGAGCACAGACAGCCCATTGTGTAGCGTTGTGCATGACTACAAACAAACAAACTTAAAAACAAAGGAAAAGGAGAGAGGAAAAATCATAGTATATGAAAAACGAAAATAATTAATCGCTGCACTTAGAAATAGATAAAATAATTATATTGTCACAAATAATAGACACTACCTGACTTGTTTCTTTTTAAATCAGACAGTTAGTTGTTTATTCATGTAGTGTCCATCTTAACCCTCAAATTAACTATTTGTGTTTATACTTTTCACTACCGGTGAGATACAGATGCTGCATCATACCGAGTCATTTTATGTTTCCGTCTGTTAGAACACTCGAACAAAGAGTTGATTAAATAACTAAGTGAAACCACTAATTTTTAGTTAGAACACTTGTGTAAAGAGCTGACCAAAAACTGGGTGAATAATTAATTTTAATTAGAACAATTGTGTTAAGAGCTGACTATAAAACTGGGTGAATAATTAATTTTAGTTAGAACACTTGTGTACAGAGCTGACTAAAAAAGTGGATGAAATCTAATTTTAGTTAGAACACTTGTGTACAGAACTGCCAAATAAAAAAACGTATAGCTAACATCCAAGCTTCGAGGCACGCTGGTGCCAATTGGCACTAATGGAAGTTTTATGATAGTAGGGAATGCAGTTCGCAGCTTTTGTGTAACGAGACTCGTGTGTGCACGCGCGTTTAACAAGTGCAGGTGGTATTATAACGTAAAAATAATGAAACATCTTCTTGAGACTAAATATATATAAAAACCAGTAGTTGTGAATAAAAGTATCTAACTGCAGACTTGATCTATGATACCATGTAGTAAGACTTTTATAGTCCAATTTATTTTGTGTTGTTAAAATGATTGAGTTTTATGTGGTCCTTAAATTCACGTAACTAGTGGAACAAAACGTGAATTATTTTGATAATGCTTCTGATGACTAGTGTGAATAGTCCTTTAGGGTGGTCCTTAGAAAGGCAGAATAAACGATGGCAACAAAAACCAAACGATCAAAAATCAGATACTAAGATAGACGACCAGAAGCACTAGAAATATAAAAACGGTACGTTAAGCCTAAAGAAATGCAAGCTGATTTAAAACATTCCTACTAGACTCCAGAACTAAATTAAACAATAAATTGATAGATCAATAATCACGAGTACTTTGCGGAGGAGTCGGAACCGGGGGGTGCTGTACACCTCCACTTTTACATATTTGACTTATATAGCAACTGTAAATTATATCATTATATTATATTAATTTTCTAGGGGGCATGTCTCCCCAGACTCTACCTAGATCGAGCTGTTTTTAGCAGCTCATTATATTTCAATCTCTGATTGTAAAATCTGCATGTCTAGCCGAGCACCCCCACCCTCGAACTCCTTCCTACACCGCTGGCACTGTGTGTGTTTGTGTCTATAGGGTGACAGAGCAGGGAGAGTTGGGGGGGGGGGGGGTAATAAGTGATAGATAGCTATCACGTGATAGTAATAATAACACTAAACACGAGATGGTTGGGATAAATGAATGAAATCACGCCCAGTTTTATAAAGACAGACAGGGAGTGCGGCGTGTACTCTAGTATGACAAGAATGTGACACTAATAAACATGCGCCCGTGACAAAATGAAGACGCGAAACACTGCAGGGTGTACTTAAGCATAAAGTCAATATTAAGATCACTTAAGAGAAAAACCAACAACTTAAATACTTTGTTGACAGAAAATTTTCACCTACGGTAACCAACCCACTGTAACATTCTATCTTTCACAATTGTTTTATGTTACTCCAACTATTTGCTGATATGCAGAGGGGGGGGGATGACAAACATAATTCAAAATCATTTATCATTGGTGTTAAATAGTTCGTAATAATTAATTTAGAAACGCCCTCATAACCCATTACACTTTGCAGCGCAACGATATTCGAAACGCATTCAGCGAGGTAAAAAATGAAGATCTTAGAAAGAAACCTCACAGGGTTCAGGTTCTTATATTATTAAAACGTAACAATAATTAACGTTGGTTTGCTTATCGGTAGGAAATGGCGTAGTTAATGTGTTTGCACAAAGATCAAATTGCGTGTTTGTTTTGTTGAATTTCGCGCAAAACTACACAGAATTGTGATTGACAAGATGGAAAACAACCAGTCAACACCACTCACTGTCAGTTCTAGGGCTTCTCCTGTCAGATCGAATAGAGGGATTTGACGATTACTCTTATAACGCATCCAGGACTCCGCAATTTGGTGCACGATTTGTTTTGCGGTAACGGGACCTCAACTCTACATTCCGGCACGCTACCCACTAGGCCACGCTCAGCCCGCACGTGATCAACGGGTTCAGTTTGAGCAATAAAAGAAAATATTCATTCAACAGCTTTATTTGCTGCGAGTGGGAAGTAACTATAGGAGTAAAATTCGGGTCTAGATACCCGCGGTGGGTACAGCACAGATAGTAACCATCGTGTAACTTTGCGCTTAACAATAAACAAATGAAAACGTTCTGTTAACAGAAGGTATTTAACTTGTTCGTCCTATGCAGGGTTAAAATAGGGTAAGGCTCAGTTTCATTGAGCTTGAGTTCGATCAATCATTTAGTAAATCGTAATTTCAGCGCTATGATTACAATGAGTTTTTGTTTGTGAGTAAATTTTGATCTGAGAAACAGACGAAACGTATTTTACGACTGTAAGAGCGTTACTACAGCATTTTTGTGTAGTATTTTTGTAAGTAAAAAAAACATGTCTTTTTCAGATGAGCTAGAATTAAACAAAGAGTACAAGATAAACACGAGTACAGTCACTAAAACTATCAGTGAATTAGCGATTATTCGATATGTTGTCCCTTCGTGTGTGTGACTTTTTATGAACACTTCTACCATTTTTTTCTCCCAGAAAAATATTATTCCCGCTAAACTGTTATTGTACTCACACCCCCCCCCCTCTCTTTCTCTGCAATTCCTTATTTATTCTGCTCAGTGTCGGTGAAATTCTCTAAAACATCCCCGAAAACCCTTAATAATTATTCCTACTGTATCTGAAGCATCATCGAAATAATTCACGTTTTGTTCCATTAGTTACGTGAACAAAATGATGCCATCATTGGCTCGATACCATTGTCACTCTCGAAGACTGTCAACGTTCAAGACGTCATCTCACACTTTTAGTTCGTGGTCGGAAATTTTCATAAGTAATCTCGTGGCCACGTGAACTATTATTATTCTGTGTTTTGCTTGTAGACCTCGCGCGCTCTCGCTCGAACCCTCACGTAGGACTTATTATGTAAATAGGGTTGGTTACATGACGGATCGAAAACCGTTTGTTTTCTAAACACAGAGTTAAGGTAAAAATAAGTAGTTCAATTGTGAACGTTAGTCGCGTACATTCCAGTTGTGTTACTTTGTCGGATTCTTATCAGTTTATTTAAACTGTGTGTTTTAGGCACGCATTTTGTATTATTTTACCTAAACCGTCACTTTTAATCTCGTAATATATTTGGTACGATCAATTAAATCATCTTGTGACTGTTATAAGTCTCATAACGTTGTTTCGCCAGGGGCTCGCCAAGTTTTTTTCATGAGGTGAGGTAGGATCGTTTCTGAAGTCAATAACATATGTAGGCCTAAGTAAGCCGTAAGGCAGCAACAGTCCCGTTTATAACAAGTTAATGTCAGATTGAAAAAATAGATAGGGAAGGGGAGAGTTTTAAAATTACACCACCACGTTTGACAATTTTTGCAGCATACGATTTAATTTTCCATGACCATCAAATTGCGGTCGAGTCTCCCCCTAGCGACACCCTTGTTAGTCAACATTATTTCATTTCAACTCTCATTTGTTGATCCTCTATTTTTGTTTATTAAATTGTTATTGTTAATCTCGTGGTCTGTTTAATTGCAATTGTTAGTTTCCTTATTTTCAAATAGCCTATATATATATGAAGAGCTCTGGATTGAGCGAAACGCGTCGTCGGCAATGTATTTGATAAATACTATTATTTTAGGCCTTATTGTACTTTTAACACTACATTCCTAATCTAGTCCCTTATGGACTTTCAAGAATTAGAAGAGTGTATGATAATGTCTTAGGACAAATATAATTAGTTTCGTTACTTGTTTAGCACATAGTGCTTATTTGTTTTCAACATATTATTTTACAATAATTGTGAGTGTTTATCTCGTAATTTTGTAATGTAACATTTTACTGAAATTATGATAATATACCATTCGTAAAGTGATGAAATATGGAATGATATGGTTAAATGATTTACTCTGATAAACAGTTTTACTTCCAATGTCAATCGTGATCAGAATAAGTAATATTATCAGTGATGTTTTTATTATTTTGAAATTAAGCTTAGAATTTTTAGCCGCGGCATAGTGGTTCATAGAATGGCTCTCAGTTATTTTTCAAGTACAAACGTTTAGCTCATAGCTCCGTCATCTCTTGACCGATTTGAGATCTAATTACAGTTTTGGAATGAGAAGGTCAAACCCTTTCGATTGATATTTGACCA